TGGGATTCATACCAGGTATGCAGGGATGGTTCAACATTAGAAATTCAATGTAATTCACCACATAAATAGAACAAAAGAATCACCTGATCATCTCAATCGACACAGAAAAGTCATTTGACAAAGTCCAATACCCATTCCTGATAAAAACTCTTAGCAACTTAGGTACAGAAAGGAAATTCCTTGACATAATAAAGGGCATTTATAGAAAGCCAACTGCCAACATCATTCTAAATGGAGAGAGGCTGAAAGCATTCCCCTTGAGAACGGGAACCAGACAAAGATGCGCTTTATTATCACTTTTATTCAACATTGTGCTGGAGGTCCTAGCTAGAGCAATAAGGCAAGAAAAAGAAATAAAGGGCATCCAAATTGGTAAGGAAGAGGTGAAAGTATCTCTTTTTGGAGATGATATGATCTTATACACAGAAAATCCCAAAGAATCCACAAGAAAGCTACTGGAACTAACAAAAGATTTTGGCAAAGTAGCAAGACACAAGATAAACATATAAAAATCAGTAGGATTTCTCTACACCAACAAAGAGAACTTTGAAAAGGAGATCACGAATCAATATCATTTATAATAGCCCCCAAGAAGATAAAGTACTTAGGAATGAATCTAACCAGAGACGTAAAAGACTTATACAAAGAAAACTACAAAACACTACTGCAAGAAACCAGAAGAGACCTACATAAGTTGAAAAACATACCATGCTCATGGATAGGAAGACTCAACATTGTGAAAATGTCAATTCTACCCAATGCGATCTACAGATACAATGCAATCTTGATCCAAATTCCAACAACATTTTTTAATTGGATGGAGAAACAAATCACCAACTTTATATGGAAAGGGAAGAGGCCCTGGAGAAGTAAAGCATTACTGAAGAAGAAGAACAAAGTGGGAGGCCTCACACTACCTGATTTTAGAACCTACTATACCACCATGGTAGTCAAAACAGACTGGTACTGGTACAACAATAGACACATAGACCAATGGAACAGAATTGAGAATCCAAACATAAATCTATCCACCTATGAGCACCTGATATTTGACAAAGGCCCAAAGTCCATTAACTGGGGAAAAGACAGTCTCTTTAACAAATGGTGCTGGCATAACTGGATATCCATCTGTAAAAAAATGAAACAGGACCCATACCTCACACCATACACAAAAACTAACTCATAATGGATCAGAGACCTAAATATAAAATCTAAAACAATAAAGATCATGCAAGAAAAAATAGGGACAATGCTAGGGGCCCTATTACATGGCATAAATAGGATACAAACCATAACTAGCAATGTACAAACACCAGAAGAGAAACTAGTAGGTAAGTGGGAGCTCCTAAAAATCAAACACTTTCGCTCATCAAAAGACTTCACCAAAAGAGTAAAAAGAGAACGTACAGACTGGGGAGAAAATTTTGGCTACGACATATCTGATAAGGGTCTAATCTCTAGAAACTACAAGATACTGCAACACCTCAACACAAAAAAGACAAATAATCCAATTAAAAGATAGGCAAAGCATATGAACGGACACTTCACCAAAGAAAACATTCAGGTGGCTAACAGACACATGAGAAAATGCTTTTGATCATTAGCCATTAGAGAAATACAAGTCAAAACTACATTGAGATACCGTCTCACCCTGACAATATTGACATTAATCCAAACAACACAAAACAACAAATGTTGGAGAGGTTGTGGGGAGACTGGCACTCCTATGCATTGTTGGGTGGGAATTTAAAACTGTATAACCACTTTGGAAAATGATATGGTGCTTCCATAAAACACTAGAAATAGAAATACCATACGATGCAGCAATCCCACTTCTGGGAATACATTCTAGAGAAATAAGAGCTGTCTCACGAATAGACATATGCACACCCATTTTCATTGCAGCACTACTCACAATAGCAAAAAGATGGAAACAACCTAAATGCCCATCAACAGATTAATGGATAAAGAAATTATGGTACATAAACACAATGGAACACTACGCAAAGATAAGGAACAACGATGAAACCTTGAAACATCTGACAACATAGATGAATCAGGAGGCCATTATGCTGAGTGAAATAAGCCAGTCACAAAAAGACAAATATTGTATGAGATCACTATTATAAGAACTCAAGAAAAGGTTTACACACAGAAAAAAGCATTCTTTGATGGTTCTGAGGGTGGGGAGGGAAAATCACAAGTGTCAACTTTGGTGAAGGGAAGGACAACACACAATATAGGGGAAGTCAGCACATCTGGACCAAAGCAAAAGCACAGAAGTTTCCTAGACACATCCAAACACTTTGAGGGACCGAACAGCTGGGGTTGGGGCCTGGGGACCATAGTCTCGGGGGACATCTAGGTCAATTCCCATAACATAGTTCATAAAGAAAATGTTCTATATTCCACTTTGGTGAGTAGTGTCTGGTGTCTTAAAAGCTTGCAAATGGCCCTCTAAGATACATCTATTGGTCCCATCCCACCCGGAGCAAAGGAGAATGAAGAAAACCAAAGATATGAGGAAAATATTGGCCCAAAGGGCTAAAGGACCACATGAACCAGAGATTCCACCAGCCTGAGACCAGAAGAACTAGATGGTGCCTGCCTACCACCAATGACTGCCCTGACAGGGATTCACAACAGACAGTCCCAGACAGAGCAAGAGGAAAACGTAGAACAGAATTCAAATTCACAAAAAAGATCAGATTTACTGGTCTGACAGAGACTGGAGGAATCCCTGAAACCATGGCCCCCAGATGCTCTGCTAACCCAGAACTGACACCGTTCCTGAAGCCTACTTTCCGGACAAAGATCAGACAGGTCTATAAAACAAAAAAGAACACACATGAGGAATGTGCTTCTTAGTTCAATCAAATATACAAGACCACATCGGCAGCTCCTGTCTAAAAGCAGGATGAGAAGGCAGGAAGGGACAGAAATTTGTCAAATGGACACAGGGAACCCAGGGTGGGTAGGGGGAGCGTGCTGTCACATTGTGGGGATTGCAACCAATGTTGCAAAACAATATGTGTATAAATTTTTGAATATGAAATTAACTTGAGCTGTAAACTTTCACCTAAAGCACAATAAAAAAAGAAATAAAATACACACACACGCACACACACACACACACACACACACACACACACAGAAGTGCTTTATGTGTTCTTCCCACTTCGTCGCATAGAATATTAAAAGACATGTACTCAAGGGTCATGATTTAATAAAATTAACAATTTTCACTGCTTTTTCAAAGCCATTCTTAAGTAAAACTGGCTTTTTTCCCCCTTTAACTGAGAGTGTTGGTGGTGAAGAATACAATGACTAGTAGTACAGGTCGGTTCCACTGCTTTGATGCAGGCTAAGGTGTCAACAGTCCTACCGAATATTGTTTTTGCATTATCAGTGCAAATGCCAACACAGTAAAAAGGGCAAATAATATGTTAGTATTATTATGAAAATAGTTTTGACTGCTCAGACCCCCTGAACATGTCTCAGAGAATCCCAGGGATTTGCAGACCATACTTTGAGACCAATGGTCTCTTATATAGTCCTTTCCTTCAACTAATTTACAACCTGTCTAGATAGACAATACTAATAAACATGAAACAATAAGTAGAAAGATAACACATATCATCTGTACCACATAACTGAGCACTGTTAAGTTCTGGAGGCGTTTAGAGAAGAGGAAGATTAGTGAGGTATGATGAAGAGTCAGGGAAGGCTTCTTGGAAGAGGTGGGCCAGAATACTTCAGAGTCCTTGTCTATCACATGTCCTTTCCTATCCTCTCTGACAATTTATGTCCCTTATCTAATTTAAAATCTAGTTTACATCTCAAAAACTTCAGGAAAATTCCTCTGATTAAGCTAACCTCTGTCTAATTGCCCTCTACTTGATACCTGCCTTACTTTACACAATCATTTACTTATGTACAGTGATGTGCAGGTAAATGTTTAACAACAGCACTTAAAAAACCAGCTCTGATTTGTAGCTTTTGCCAATTTCTATGGTATAAATTCTCTCACTATAGCGATTGTAAGGTAATGCTTACAACATTCCTGAAATTTTACAAAACGATTCCAGCAAGCCATTATACTCTTTCCACTTGAGAGCAAGGATGGTGCCATTATTCTTTCTGTATATCCCAACTGCATTCAGTACAGCACAAAGCAAGAACTCAAATGTTAAGTGACTTATAGATATATCCAAAGATAAATAGCTAGTATGTATTGCTGAAAACAAATGATCTCCAAGGTCTTCCGAACAATAAAATTCTAATATTCTAAGACACTATAAAATCTCTGTCAAAGTTCTGTTCTTTCTAGATTTCACAAACTGCTTAAGAGACAATAATAGTGATTAGAGAAGCTATGCAGCATAACCTCTGGTCTTAGAGCCAGGAGGGGGGAAGGAGAGAACATTCATCGAACGCTTCTGATATGCTAAGTACTGTGTTATGCCCTTTACGTACATAACCTCATTGAATGCTCATGATAACTTTACTTACACATTATATCTATTTTGCTGATGATCTTTAAAGTTCTCTTCTTTCTATGTTATTGCTCTTCTATTATGCTTTCTTTAGTTTCTCTAAAATTTTGTTTTTAGTCAATTCTACATTTCAGAGATACTACTGAATCAAAAATTGTGGTGTATTGTAAACAGCATGGGCTTTGGAATTAGACAGACTGGATTTTGAATCCCAGTTCTGTTGTTTGCTAGCTGTATAAACTTTAGCAATTTTCTTAAACTTTAGTTTAGATCTCTAAAGTGAGAAGAGTAATATTTACCTCATAGGATATTGGAGGGACTGGAGGAGAAAATGTACCTAACATGTCTAGTGCAGTGTTTGGTTTTAAAAATAAAGTTACTTTCTCTTGTTTTTCCCACCATCATGAAGCTTTTGAAATACAAACTTTTGAATCACTGGATTGATAGGTTCTATTTTGATTCCTGACATAAATTTTTATAATGTCTTAGAGGCAGTCCCGTTACCTGAGTTCCATTTCAGTCTCTAGGCTTTCAATCTGCTTTGTAATGGAATCATCTGACTCAGAAACTTGACCACGCAGTTCAGCAAGTGAGAATGTGCGCCTCTGTAAAGAACAATAGTGGGAACGAGGATGAGATACTAAAAAGAAAGTAATCCTCCAAAGTAGCGAGGATTTCTGGGGAGTGCAGAGTCTGATTATTGGTAACATTCTTTCATGAAGTCATTTACCCGGAGTTTAGGAGGTGGATTCTCCCCAGTTTCCCTTTTCTCTTTGAGTTGAGCCACATCCTGAGCCAGGATCTTTCTATCTTCAAGAAGGTCATTCAGATGGCGTTTGGCTTCCTCAGTACTGACCATAACCTCAATTTCATTTCCAAGCCAATTCTAGAAGAGAAATCATTGATGTCTGGGTTAGGGATAAGGAATCTCTGGCCCATAGGCTAGATTCATTTCCAAACTTAATTGGACAAGAGCCCACGTAACTGTAAGCATGATTTCCATTTGTGCCTACACTCACCAAAAATTCCAGTACCTCTCTAAAAGCCTTTAACAGCAATATCCTTAAAGGTTATGAGCAAGAGGCTCTCTCCAAAAAATCTTTCTCCAGATATCTTAGCATTTCTCTGTGCCCTGTCTTTACCTTCTTCATTTTCTCTTTAACATTTGTCCATTGCCATTAACTAGGCATCATATAGGATGGAACCAAAACCCACTGCCGTGGAGTCGATTCCAACTCATAGCGACCCTATAGGACAGAGTATAACTGCCCCATAGGGTTTCCAAGGCTATAAATCTTTACGGAAACAGACTGCCACATCTCTCTCCCACAGAGCGGCTGGTGGGCTCGAACCACCACCCTTTTGGTTAGCAGCCAAGCGCTTTAACCACTGCGCTACCAGGGCTACATATAGGCTGAAAGTATATTTTTATTATCTGTTCTGTTTAATAAATAGATATCCATTCTTAATTTTTAAAGTACATAAATGACATCTGTTTTAAAGCAAACAATTAACTAATTTCAGTTTTTAAAAAATTAACTGTCCCCAAGAATACTTCCACTTTTGATGCAGATATACCACACTAATCACAATCAAAAGAAAGCTAGAGTGGCTATATTAATATCAGATAAAGTAGAATTCACATTAAAGAATATTACTCGGGATAAAAAGAATCATTTCATAATGATAAAGGAGTCAATTAATTAAGGGAACATAATCCTTAATGTTTATACTCCTAATAACAAAGTACCAAAATACATGAAGCAAAAACTTATAGAACTGCAAGGAGAAATGAAAAAATTCACAATTATAGTCAGAGATTTCAATACCCCGTCATCTAAATAATTGATAGAAGCAGACAAAAATAAAACCACTAAAATAGCATAACAAAGAGTTATAGCTAATAAGCCAACAAATGAGATAATACAGAATTGTAAAACTACTCAATAGATCCAAAGGAAGGGGTAAGATGAGGAAAAAAAGAGAACAAAGAACAGATGGGACAAATTGAAAACAAATAGCAAGATGATAGGCTCAAACCTACTCACATCAAAAATCACATTAAATGTAAATGTTCTAAAGATCCAAATAAAATGCAAAAATTGTCAGACTGGATAAAAAGCAAGACCTAACTATATATTGTCTACAAGAAATACACTTTAAATATGAAGGTACAAATAAATGAAAACTAAAAGAATCAAAATATATACTGTGAAAACACTTATCAATTATAAACCAACTAGACCAAACAGATACATACATATAGAACACTACAATGGGGGCAGTGGTGGTTCAGTGGTAGATTGCCTTCCATGTGGGAGACCTGGGTTCTATTTCTGGCCAGTGCACCTCATGCACAGCTACCACCCTCTGTCAGTGGAGGCTTGCGTGTTGCTATGATGCTGAACAGGTTTCAGGCTTCAGTGGAGCTTCGAGACTAAGATGGACTAGGAAGAAAAGGCCTGGTGATCTACTATGGAAAATCAGCCAATGAAAGCCCTATGGATCACAAGAGTCTGATCCACAACCAATGATGGGGATGGTGCAGGACCGGGCTGCATTTTGTTCTGTTGTCCATGGTGTCACCATGAGTTGGGGGCCGACTTGACAGTACATAATAACACCACCACCTAACAACAGCAGAATACTCTTTTTTCTCTAGTGCACATGGTTCATTCTCCAGAACAGACCATAGGTTAGGCCACCAAAAAAAAAAACGTGAATACATTTAAAAAGAGTGAAATCATTCAAAGAATCTTCTCCAACCACAATAAAATGAAGCTAAATTAATAACAGAAGGAAAACTGGAAAATGCACAAAAATGTGGACGTTAAATGACATGTTCTTAAACAACCATTTGGTCAAAGAAGAAATCACAAGAGAAATTAGAAAATACTTGGAGACAAATGAAAATGAAAGCACAACATATCAAAGTTATGGGATGCAGCAAAAGCAGTGCTCAGATGGAAATTTATATCTGTAAATGCTTACATTAAAAAAGAAGAAAGATCTCAAATCAATCACCTAACTTTACACCTTGAGGAACTAGAAAAAGAGGAGCAAATTAAACTCAAACCTAGCAGAAGAAGGAAATACAGTCATGTGTTGCTTAACATCCTTGACATGTTCTGTGAAGTAGGACATTATGTGATTTGGACATTGTGCGAACACTGTATTATGGATGAAGTCCCTTTCAGGCATTCACTTCCAGAATAAGAAGGCTTTTCATCCATATTCAAAATTTGCTGGGGCAAATAACCTACCTCTACAATTAGTTTATCTAAGGTTTCAACAAATTCTTATGCTGCCATCACACCAGCACTCGCACACTCACCAATCACTTTCACATTATGGAGCGAAAAATGTTTGTTGTTTGAAGCGCTTAAACCACCCAGAGCTAGCACTAAACTTGATATATTGCAGTCTGGTCCTGCTTTTTCTTTAAGCATCTAGAACAAGCTTTGTGCCTTAGCATTTATTGTCAATGTGCTGAGAGGGATTCACTTTTGTGTTTGGTACTAAAACCACGTCATTAGCAATTTCTCCACGTCTGATACAGGTCCCTCTTGCATTTTTGTTAGCCTTGTAGCTTTCAGTGGGGCCGATCCTTTAACAGCTTGGAAATTTTTTTCTTTGTTTTTGAGGATCGTCATGATTGTCCAGAGCGACATGCCTAAATCCACTACCTCCTGTTCTCTGATCGGGATTTCTGAACTCTATTATAACCTCATGGGACTACAGACATATTGCGGTTGGACGTTGCCCAAAAGGACGTTACGTGGCACATGACTATAATAAAAATTGTGTCATTGTTGTTGTTAGTTGCCATCGAGTTGATTCCAACTCATAGCGACCCCATGTGTGCAAAGCAAAACTGCTTCATAGGGTTTTCAAGGCTGTGACCTTTCAGAAGCAGATTGCCAGATCTGTATTCTCAGGCGCCTTTTGGTGGGTTTGAACCACCAACCTTTTAGCTAGTAGTTGAGTGTTTAACTGTTTGTACCACCCAGGGACTCCAATAAAGATTAAAGTAGGGTAGAAATAAATATGGAATAGAAAAATAATAGAATTAACGAAACCAAAAGTTGGTTCTTTGAAAAGATCAATAAAATAGATAAACCTTTAGCTACAGTGACCAAAAAAGAGAAAAGATGCAAATAACTAAAATCAGAAATGAAAGTGGGGATGTTGCTGATGTTGTTAGGTGCCCTTGAGCTGGTTTCGACTCATAATGACCCTATGTACAAAAGAACGAAACACTGCCCAGTTCTGTACCATCCTCATAGTATGTGTTATGTTTGAGTCCATTGTTGCAGCCGCTGCGTTGATGCATCTTGTCAAGGGTCTTACTCTTTTTCACTGACTCCCTACACAGAGGGATCCTTTTTTTTTTTATTGTACTTTAAGTGAAAGTTTACAATTCAAGTTAGTCTCTCATACAAAAATTTATACATACACTGTTATGTGACCCTAACTGCTCTCCCTATACTGTGGCAGCACACTCCTCCTTTCCACCGCTGATTTTCTGTGTCCATTCAACCAGCTCCTAATCCTCTCTGCCTTCTCATCTCACCTCCTGACAGGAGCTGCCCAGTTAGTCTCATGTATCTACTTGGGCTAAGAAGCACTCTCTTCACAAGTATCATTTTATGTCCCATAGTCTAGTCTAATCTTTGTCTGAAGAGTTGGGCTCAGGAATGGTTTTAGTTTTGGCCTAACAGAGAGTCCAGGGGCCATGTCTTCCGGGGTCCCTCCAGTCTCAGTCAAACCATTAAGTCTGGTCTTTTTACTAGAATTTGAGTTCTGCACCCCAGTTTTCTCCTGCTCCGTCCGGGACTCTCTGTTGTGTTCCTGTCAGGGTGGCCATTAGTGGTAGCCAGGCACTATCTAGTTCTTCTGGTCTACGCACAGGCTGATGAATCTCTGGTTTATGAGCCCTTTCTGTCTCTTGAGCTAATATTTTCCTTGTATTTCCTGTCTTTTTAATGACTTTTTGCTTTCTTCATGTATGATGTCCTTGATGCCTTTCCACAACTTGTCTGGTCTTCAGTCATTAGTGTTCAATTCGTCAAATCTATTCTTGAGATGGTCTCTAAATTCAGGTGGGATATATTCAAGGTCATATTTTGGTTCTTATGGACTTGTTTTAATTTCCTTCAGTTTCAACTTGAACTTGCATATGAGCAGTTGATGGTCTGTTCCACAGTTGGCCTTTGGCCTTGTTCTGACAGTTGATATTGAGATTTTCCATTGTCTCTTTCCACATATGTAGTTGATTTGAGCCCGATGGAGCTGTTTTCCATCTGGTGAGGTCCACATGCATAGTTGCCGTTTATACTGTTGAAAAAGGTATCTGCAATCAATAAGTCATTGGTCTTGCAAAATTCTCTCATGTAATCTCCAGCGTCGTTTCTATCACCAAGGCCATATTTTCCAACTACCGTTCTTTCTTCTTTGTTTCCAACTTTAGCAGTCCAATCACCAGTAATTATCAATGCATCCTGATTGCATGTTTGATCAATTTCAGACTGCAGAAGTTGGTAAAAAATCTTCAATTTCCTCAACTTTTGCATTAGTGATTGCTGCATAAATTTGTATAACAGTCGTATTAACTGGTCCTCCTTGTAGGTGTATGGATATTATCTTATCACTGACAGCGTTGTACTTCAGGATAGATTTTGAAGTGTTCTTTTTGATGATAAACGTGATGCCATTCCTCTTCAATTTGTCATTCCTGGCATAGTACACCATATGATTTTCCCATTCAAAATGGCCAATACCAGACCATTTCAACTCACTAATGCCTAGGATATCAATCTTTATGCGTTCTATTTCATTTTTGACAACTTCCAATTTCCCTAGATTCATACTTTGACATTCCATGTT